AAAAAAAAAAAAAATTGCTATCCCTATAGATACCCTAAAGATTTCAGACAAGCTGCTATGGGAACATTCAAAAATAAAAACAAGATAGCGATTTCCTCCATACCAACTATATCCATGTGAGATGGAACTGTGACACAGCTTTTTCACTTTGAAAGCAACCACAGTATTACAGACCTGTTAGAATTTACCTGATTTACCTCTATCAAATCAAACCAGAACATAAAAAGGTTATACTCCTCAGTGTTAACACTGAGGTAGGTCCTTACAAATAGTAATTTATCCATCAAATATAAGGTAAGGCTTTGAATTCCATCACATTGTGGGGTTCAACATGTCTTGACACCAACATTTAAAAAATGATAAAAGATAATCTGAAAGGCAGAGGGTCAAGTGAGGAATCACTCTTTTCCTATTTTGTTTTATGGAGTCTTGGTCACCCTCTGCAATATTGGGAGAAGCTCCTTCCCCTAGGAACTTACCTGAAAGATCAATGTTTTCTCTACCACCAGATTTATCTCTAAAGAAAACACTGGATACAATTATGATTTATTAGTCTAAAGGAAGTTCATACATTCCCTATGGTTTCTGAATGAGCACTCAGAGTCATTCCAGCAAAAGTTTAAAACTCAGATTCAGGCTCTTCCATTCTCAATCAGTTTTATCAGTTTCAAAAGGTAGAGCCCATAAATCTATAAACTCCCCTTTGTCTTTGTGCACAAGATTTGGAAAACATTCTTTCACCCCAAGTTCATACAAAGTACTTAACTATCAAAAGATCAATACAAGGGAGGACACAATAAATGGTGATATGCTCAACTTTTTCAATCAGACTTAAATGAAGCTCGTGTGTGCGAGTGGGAAGCATAAATTCAGAAAATTGAAAGTACCACTATCAGTAGGAATTAAATCTGTGACATGAAGAACTTTCTGATATCTACAACGTTAATTTGACAGGGCAGAGTGAAAAGCCGTCCCTTTGGACACCCAATTCTTAATCCTCAAAAACCTCTTAAGATTACTTTAGATTCGCCCTCCCTGGTGGCTCAACGGGTTAAAGCGAGCATGGCAAGCGAAGCCACAGCCACTTCAGTGGGAGTTTGATCCCCAGTCCTGGAGGTGACCCACATGGTGCAGATCTCTTCTGACCTACTTGCTGCTCTCCTCAGCAGTGTACTTTGTCAGTCTGCCTGTTCTGCTCCCCACTTTGTCTCTGGGGAATCCTCTCACTGCCCCTGTATCTCTGGCTTGCACCACAAAAGGGACTTTGTAATTACAATGTCTTTAGGGTCTTAAGAGAGAGGATATATTCTGGATTATCCAAGTGAGCACAATGATGTAATCACAAGTATGCTTATAAAAGGAAAGGAAAGATCACCACAGGAGAATATGATATGATGATACAAGCAAAGGCTGGAAGGCTGTGGCCATGAACCAAAGAATGTCAGTAGCCACCAGGAACTAACATAGGCCAAGAAACATTCTCTCCTGGAGCCTCTAAAAAGAATCAAGAACTCAGTTTTAGCCCAGTAAAAATGACTTCAAATTTCTAACCTCAAAAATTAAGGAAATGTGTCAAGCCACTAAGTTTGCATTATTTTAGCAGATATCAAAAATCAACACAATCACTAATATGGTATCTTAACAGAGTCCCAGATCTGCATTTGTTTGACATGACTTTTTTTAAAAACCCAACTCACCAACTATTTTGAGGGTTAGGTATTATCCAAATGGAAGCAAGCATAAATCCTATTAAGTGCATACTTTTAAAACATGGCATTTCTAGAGCAGGTACAGTCATAAAGGTTTTATGGAATTATTGCAGTTCACGAAGGACTATCTCATTTACTATTATAATAATGACTGGGGTTTTGTTTATGTATCACTGAAGGAGGTTGGGGAAAATACAAGGACAGAAAACTATCTTTCCTACTTGATTTAATCTCTTTTAGAATAAGGTACAAAGAATTTAAAAATATATCCATTTTCTAGGTCTCCCTGATGGTGCAGGGGTTAAAGTCTCAGTTCTATAATCTATCACCAGCCTCTGTGGCATGAGTCAGCGCCCTAGCCAGGGAACTGACCTCACAAAGCACCTCCCATCTTGCCTGCTGCTCCCCAGGGCAGTGTATCTCAGTAGATCTGCCTATTCTGCCCTCCACTCTGTCTCTGGTTAATTCTCTCACCCTCTGCACCTCTAAACTATACCCCAGTAGTTCTTGTATGCATAAATAAATACAAAATAAACCTTTCAAAAAATATATAATTTTCTTCTAGATGTTGATACTAAAGAAAACCAAAAATATTTAGAATCAGCAAATTCTTTACCTAAGTGCATTGTATGAGCACGTTCCTTTGACAGTCACAAAAGGAAAATCCTGTAATCTAACATGAACTAATATTTTTAAGTGACATTTTTATTATACAAGATGCAGGTAGTTTTCATGAGGCCCACCTGAACTAAAGTGTTAAATATACTATATACAGAACTATAATCTGCTTTTACTAAAGTTTATAGCAGAAATCCAAATCAGGATAAAATTTTGATTAAAAAAATTAATCTTATTTTGAATAATGTTACAATAATCCTCACAGCACATCACTTAATGGACACATCATCTTCATGGATGTAAATTCAGGATGTTGATTATATTTATCTTTTAATGTTATTATTATGAATACTCAGTACTTGTTTTGCTTATTACATTCACTTAAAGTGAAGCTTAATGTACTATACAAAGAAACAGATTCAGTAAGTGGCAAAAAATTCAAATAAATGAAGTACTGCAATTAGATTCTCAGCAAACGTAAGGTATCTGTGCCTCCTCAAATGTGAATGAGGCATTCACCTTTTTAGATAAATCTCATTCACCTCTAAACCCACTAATGGATACTTGGTAGTTTTCTGGCTTTATAAACTACACAATAAAATGTACTTCAGGAATCATTGGGCTATTTGACCATCTCAGTTAAACAAGTTGTACTAATCTATCTGTAGTGTCTGTTAATAATTAGCTGCATTCAAGAAATGAAAAGCAACTTTTATTAAACATTTGCATAGCATGGAAGAATGTGAAGAAACATTTTGCAAACGTAAAAAGTATTAAAAAAATAAAATAGAATGCTTAACTGTGTAAACAGACTACAGAAGTACTTTAAAAGGAGACAAATCATCATTAGAGAGGTAGGGCAAAGTAACTCTCTAATGAGGTATATTCTATTTAAAAATAAATATAATCAGCACTCTGAATTTACCTCCAAGGAAAAAATTAGTTCCAATGCAATAAATCTGTCATCAGTAAGTATGTTGAAAGCCCTAACACAATCTTGTTAACAATATAATCATGAATTTAAAATTTTTTTCTGATATTAAGAAGTGTTAACTTACAAAAAATTTTACTGAACAAAACTATTCTAAAAATGCAAAATTAGCACAAGTCAAAGTAATTTTTATGGAAGAAAAACTGAACTTTGGGACCTACATAAAATAATAAAACCAGGCCCTCCGGGTGGCACAGCGGGTTAAAGCACACCACTAGAAGCTAAAGTCAATTCAGCATGAGTTTGATCCACACCCTGGAGGTGACTTACATTGCAGCAGACCTCTCCTGACATGCCCGCTGCTTCCCTTAGCAGTGTACTTTGTCAACTGGCCTGTTCTTCTTCCCATTGTCTCTGGTGAATCCTCTCACAGCCCCTGCACCTTTGGCCTGTATCCCAGTTCTGTAAATAAATCTTAAAAAATCCAGAACCCCTCCCTAAAAAAAAGCAAGCTCTAAATTCTTTATAGCAGAGTACTATGTTTTCTTTTCCCCCTTTCACTTAACTCATAAATCAATGGTGTGCCAAGCTCATTAAGTTTTTAAATACTGCTCAAGTATATAAATGTTTAGTTTCAAAATTCTGTAAACAGTATTACAGGAAAAGTCATTAACTCATTTAGATCTTAACTAACAGCAACTAAACTCCACAATGCAATGAATAGGAATGAGACCAATATGAATACAAAAAAGGAAGACTACAAAATGATGCTTTCCTTTGGGGAAAAATTTTTTTTTTATCATCAATTCCAAACACACAGTACAGGGAAAGTGGAATGAATAAGAAAAAAAAATCTTACGTTATTTCCCCATTAACACCAAGCCATATTATTCAAAATATGTTTTAAAATACTAGCTACATCATCAATCTTAGCTACTATTGTAGTTTAAATGCTCACTAATAGTTAAGCAACAGAAATCCATTGTGAGACACCAGAGAGAACACCTACATTGCTATACATAATTTATTAACTTAGTTGTTTAGTCTCTCAATATTTAGCAAGTTTGCATAAAAATTACTATACCCATTGGTATATATAATGACATTAATATAAATGCATAATTTCAAAGTCAACATTCCTTTCACTGTGAACATAAGACTTCTTATAAAATACTTGTAGGATGGGAAACGACTGGCTGCTGGGATAGCACTGTTCAAGTCAAATAAACTTGCAGGCCTGGAAAGATATGAACGTATATACACTCTCAGTATGCTATTTCCCACATTATTGCTACACAGCTGTATCGTAAAATGGTATAAATTATCTACTCAAATTTGAAAAAAGAAATCAAGATGAATTATCTTCACTTAAAAATGACCTCTTTAAATGTAAAAGTTCCTTATGTTTACTTAATTTTCTAGAGACAGATTTAAATATTTTCTTCTTAACACGTACATTTATTTTACCCTATCTTAGTGCCTCATTACAAGCAGATTAGCGATAAGAGCTCCAATACTTTGTTAAAAATTGCATTCAGCAGATTGTAAGATGGTAAAATTTGCAGCTGAATTTTTTTATGATACTGAGTTACAACAAAGTCCAAAAGTGGTATGACTGTCAACCTATATACTATTACCAAAAACAAAACAAAAGCCACCTAATATCTACATATAATTCAAACAAACTTTGTGGTGAGAGGGTATAAAATAAATACAATTTTTCAACTCTATTTAAATGCTATCTAGATGGTTAGATGAAAACTATTAATAGAGTTAAGCTATATTTAAAATTATTTTCCAAGGAGTTAGGATAATTTTGCAAAACAAAGATAAGCAAGACCCTATACCAAAACATTTCTCCTGTAGTGTAATGTATTTGCTAATTGAGGTATAATCTGTAAGCAATTAATACAAATATAAATAGGTGTAAGACACTATTAAAACAGTCTGGTGAAAAGCTTCTCAGTTAATATATTTGGTGGGGAGGGATGGTAAGGAATATGAGAAGGGAACCACAGGGCAGGTTTATAATATAAGTGGGAATATAAATTATGTGCTTTATCATTATCATCACCTAATGTGTTAACAGATCATTGTGGCAGAAAGGTAAACCCTTTCTAAGTATGCTGGTCTAGAATATATTTTATATAATACAATAAGATCAAGTACTGCTAATACTTCATTTGCATTTATATTTTTATAGACACGATCATTTATGTAGATAAAAGTTACAACCAGAATTTTAAGACTTACCTCACTTTTGAAAAGTTAACTGTTAAGACTGAACTATGTACTACAGAATTTGCCAGAATATCTAAACTCGGGTAAAACTAAAAGAAAAGATTGCTATTTCTTCAATAAATGGCTTCGTGTGAAATCTCAAGCTCACTCATCTTTTTATAGATGAATTTATTTGATAAGGATTGTGATCCAATGATTGTTTAGCAGCAATTTTACCAAACTGTAAATTCTTTTATTAACAGGCATTATAAACAGATAATACTAAACTTATTTAAAAACCATCGAGTGCCACACCGGTGAATATACAGCTCATGAATAACTTAAAAAGTATTTCCCAGTTTAAAAGGCAATACACAGCATACAAAAACCTATACTAAAGAAAGAAGCTATAACATGAATACATGATTGAAGTGTCTAAAATGATATATATATACAGTACATAATTAATGCTAATTATGTGATCAGTACATTTTCCTCTTATGATTCCTTTCATGCTTCACTTTCCCCAGAAACTGAATTCTGAACTTCCTCTTCTAAAATTGGTACAATCAGGTTATCCTTGGACATCAAATTATATTTCATCACAAATTTAGTAAACCGATGACATAAAAATGTTTCATTCTGTAAAGAGGAAGAAAAAAATGTTATTTTGTTATCCAAAATCAAAAGATTAGTCATAATATCAACATAGATTATCATTCTGATAATGTAGTCAGGACAATTATTGAAATCTACTTACTTCATATTCATCAAATATCTGCCGGTGATGAAAATAAGCATGTGAAAATATTCTGTAAATCCTACGGCATACTGATCCTAGTTTTGCTACAGATGATTCCTTTATACTAACCCTAGAAATAGAAATCACAGATTCATAAAGCTATCCCAGAAACAATATAATCCAATCTTCTCAATTAGTAAGGGTGGAAAATGACACCAACAGAAAATAAGTGACCAGTTCAAAGGTATAGTACTAGTAAAAGGTGGGGGTAGAACTAGAACCCCCAACATTTGTTCTTGGGCCAGTGCTCTTTCTACCATCTTTTGCAACTGAATTAAATTCAGTATTACATTTTAATACAATTAAAATGTTACAGTTTACAGTTTAATACAATTAAAATGAATCTCTGACAATTCAAAACTTGCCTCAGGATACTAAAGCAAAAAAAAAGTTACTTTTCACACATTTTAGTATGTGCTCTTTGCAATTAACTATATATTCAGGAAAGAAAATTTTCCAAATTTATCCACCTGGTAACAAATGTAATAGAATAAAAAAGTTAGTCACAAACCTCACCAAAATATATTGTAACAAGTAGTCTTGTCCTAAATTAAAAAAATCTGTAGACAAGGACAAGGGAACCTTCAAAAATAAGTCCAATTTAGAAAAGTCTTTTTTCTAGGCATGCTGTCTTTTAAAAAGAATATTGACCTTTGACTGTCATCACAGAAATTCAAGTAAGCAGCTCTGTAAACATTCCAACTCAAGGAGAGAAGGAAAGTCTTGGACAATGACACACAGCAGCCAGCACTACCCTTGTCTGAACAAGACTGTGCACTCTGGGAGCCAACTTCTGTTACTTTTAATTTAACTTCCCTAATTTCAAGACTTTAGTATGTTCTGAACAAGCCGAATAAAAACAGCTAAAAAAAGAGAAAAAGCTTAAAGAATATAATACATTAGCCAGAATATCCTATTAAATTAAATCCAAGAAGTTTAACACCTTGTTTACCTGCTGGGAAAATATTTATTGCTATTCAGAAGACATGCAGCACCATCAAGTGTGTGTCTAGTATAGTCTATAGCAGGACACTGAAAAAGAAAAGGGTAAAAAATGCATCATCAGAGAGTTCCTCTTAGATAAGGCCTATTAGTATACAGGTACCCCCAGCCAAAGGCAGACTGTTCCTTTGATAATGTTTAGAGATGGGAAGAATCCAAATTCCTAATTCTAACCAATAAGACAACAAAAGAAAGAATCAAAGAGAATCAGTTTGAACAGCATGGTTTCTTCCCCAGATCTTACAATTCTATAGACAAAGATAAGAAAATTCTTCAAATACAAGCAGTTCAACTTATAAATGTCTGCTTTTAGTCATGCTGTCTAAGAGGAGTCTGGTTCTATCACAGAGATCCAGGTAAATATGTATAATTCAAGTAAACATGAAAATGTCCCAATTCTAAAATGAGAGGGAGAACCCTGGAGAAGGATGCACAACAGCAGAGACTACCCTTGATTGATAGTCAATGACTTACAGATCATACAGTTATAAAGTACCCAAAATCCATAACCCAGATATACCAAATCCTAGTCTACTGATTTATATTGTATCAAGCCCAGAAAACATCCTTCCCCAAATACCTACTTCAAGATCAAGCTTTCTTACATCGTATAAAGCAACCCTTATGTCCCTGGCACCCTATAACTTAGCTAAGAGCATTCTAGAGAATCTTCTCCTTGAAAAGAGTATATGGGTAAAAGCATATGCTTTTATGGGGTATCCTTTTCTCATTATCCTTAAAAGACTAATGATTAGAGATGCTCAACATCTTTTTATGTTCTTATTGGACATTTATATACCTTCTTTAAGGAAATGTCTACTTAAACTTTTGCTCTTTTTTAAATATTTAATAATAGCTTATTTTTATATACCATTTTGTGCCTTTTCCCATCTCAGTTATATTCCCTGTGGGCAAACCTTTGCTCAATTTTTAAATTGGATTGTCTTTTATTCTTATATTGTAATATACTTCTATATGATCCATTTTGAGCTAAGTTTTGTATATAGAACAAGGTATAGGGCTAACATCAATCAAAATTTTGTATGTAGACATCTAGTTGTCTTTCAATGAAATAGCTAACATCTTTTTTTATTAAAGCGGTATGTATTTGAAAGCTGTATATTTTATTCTCACAACACTTCTCTATAACACTTCTCTATATTTTTAAAGATTTTTACTTATTTATGCATATAAGAACTGGAGTGTAGGCCAGAGGTGTATGTGGGGGGGGAGTATAGTGAGAAGTTCACCAGAGACAGAATGGGGAGAACAGGTGGACTGACTAAAATACACTGAGGAAGGGAGCAGCTGCTGAGATTGCAGAGGTCTGATGCACCATGTGGGCCAGCTCCTTGGCCAGGGACTGAACTGATACCATAGTGGCTGGTGATAGTGCTGAGAATTTAACCCTTGGACCACCAGGGAGACCCAGCATTTCTCAATTTATATTACTCACATTTCAAGAGCTCACAGCCACATGTGGTTCATAACTTCTATATAAGGCAAGATAGTTTTAGACCTTAAATTGGCTTTCAGGAAAACAAAAAACAAACCTTTTGCAGCTGAGGAAACAGTTTTGCCTTGTTTTAGTAGCTTCCCTCCACTGCCAATTAATTTCAATTTGCCTCTACATCAGTTGGAACTGCAAAAATCAGTAGCTACAAACTAGTATTAATGTGTTCACAAACTACCAAATAATATTTTGTCAACTGGGTGTTTATATAAACACACACACACACACACACACACACACACACACACACACCCCAAGTGACCACATGAAAAGGGTAGCAGATAAAAACAATTACAACCTTTGTCACTAATAGTCACTATTTGTAAAATTCACTCCATTTGCTGCAAGGTCCTTCTTTAGTTCTCAAGGACAGTGAAAAAAATCATCACTAGTGTCTAGTACCCCGATGCTTCTATTTCAGGACTGCTCTATGCATTCTGAATCTATAAGCATTAGCCAACTACTTACTCCAAAAGAGTTCAAAAAGTGTTCTTTTTGAAGATTTTCTTTTGTTTGTATTTTTACAATAATCCCACACCATATAGTTACCACTTAGAATGACAACTATCTCTCTCACTTTAAATATGGATAATTCAACTGTATTCAGCAAGCAATGCTGTCATTTAAAAATATCATTCATACCTGGGCATCCCTGGTGGTGCAAAGGTTAAAGGCTCAGCACCATCAAGCTATTTCCAGCCATTGCAACCCTGGCCAGGAAGCTAACACATATGAATCAGAGACCTCTCCTGTCTTGCCCACTGCTCCCCCAAACAGTGTTATTTCAGTAAATCTGCCTGCGCACCCAACTCTGTTCCTGATGAAACCCTTCACCCACTCACCTCTGGCCTACACTTCAGTTCTTGTATGCATAAATAAATAAGTATTTTAAAAAATCATCCATACAGCCTCCCTTGTGGCGCAGTGGGTTAAAGCACAGCACTAAGAAGCTAAAGCCACTTCAGCTTGAGTTCAATTCCCACCCCGGAGATGACCCACATGGAGCAGCAGACCTCTCCTGACCCGTCTGCTGCTCCCCTCAGCAGTGTATTTTGTCAATCGGCCTGTTCTGCTTCCTGCTCTGTCTCTGGTGAATCCTCTCACCGCCCCTGCACCTCTGGCCTGTACCCCAGCTCTGTATGCATAAGTAATTTTAAAAAAATCATCCATACTTAATACTAGTAGCAATGCTATCTTATGTTTAAGATTATTCAAGAAAATAGTGGATATAACAACAGCAATACATATAAATCTCACAATGCATCACAAACTAGTTAGCTTTTTTATTCTAAAGTAAAAATAATATAGCATCACTGCTATTTATCAAAATGAAACTAGCCTTCTTAATTCAGTTATCACAGTATTCACAGTACCATGTAGCCAGTTTCAGCAAATTATAAATGAAACTGCCACGTGGATTTTTTCCACAAATATAAAACAATACACAATCTTAGTATTACTTCCATTTATTAACACAAAAACGTAACACCCTAATGAAGCTTCCTTCCAAATAAGTACTAATTGCTAGGACAGATACAGTTTACTTTGGAGAATTTACCCTTTTAAACAAAAGAAGACTGATACTGATTTTGTGGCTAAAGAGTCACTTATCCTCAAGACTTAGATGTTCCCATATCAATATTAATGACCATATGACTGTCTCTAATTCTACATGACCACATGACTGTCTCTAATTCTACAAAACTGGCATAACCAATTACTTTCAACACATCAGTTCCAAGGAAAAAATAATTACTACAGACTAAAAGGAAATGTAACACACAGTTTAAACAAACTGGTTATAAAGGAAACATTTGAGATAACTAAAAGAAACTGATTATGTACTGGGTATCAGATAATAAGGGTTTTTTAAAAATAATATCAGTTTCTTTTTACATCTTTTTATGCCTTTTTGCATCTCAGTTATAATCCCCGTGGGCTTCCCATCACCAAATCACCTGTGTGCCATCACCCTACTCCAGTGCACTCTCCCCAACCCCATTTTTGATCACATTCCCCACTCCATACCTGTAAAATGTCTCTGGTATATAGTTGTTCATTATCCCTCTGCCCCTCGTAAGTAGGAATTACTTTTATAAAATATTCTTAGTGCAGTGCTTTAACCCGCTGCGCCACCAGGGAGGGCCAACTTTTATAAAATATTCTAAAAACATTTGCTACTTCCTATATATTTACTTGGAAATTCTGAACAAAAAGACTTAAGGAGAAAAACAAGTAACTTTTTAAACTTGTTATGATGCATTTCATTAAATAGCAGTAATGAAATGTAGGGGAAAAAATTGATCTAAAAACTTTAAAAGCTCAAAAGTTACATTTCTACTTAATTGACCAAGTATCAGCTAGTAATCACCAACAGTAATTCCTATCAAGGGCCCTCCCTGGTAGTGCAGCGGGTTAAAGCACAGCACTAAGAAGCTAAAGCCACTTCAGCATGAGTTCAAATCCCTATCCTGGAGGTGACCCATATGGCACAGCAGACCCGCCTGCAGCTCCCCTCAGCAGTGTACTTCGTCAGCCAGCCTGTTCTGTTCCCCACTCTGTCTCTGGTGAATCCTCTCACTGACCTTGCACCTCTGGCCTGTACCCCAGTTCTGGATACATAAATAAATCGTTTTTAAAAATTCCTATTAAAAGAAATAAGAAATCAAACTTAAACAGGTATAGCTCATTATTATACAATTTCACAGATATTATTTTGTGATAGTCAGTAAACCATAAAGCAAGTGTAGTCTATACAACCAATTATGAAAAGTGACACCAATCTAAGGAATCCTAAAATAGTACTATGAAAACAACCTTGCTACAGTATCTGTAAACCAAACAGCAAAATAGGCAATGAATTAAAAACCTCTAAAAATTGCCTATTGTTGTCTTGAAGAGATTTAAGTTATGATTTTAGTAGTCATTCTAATTTTGTAAATTCTCACCTCTTTTGGAGTTTTATGAGCTGCACAAAGAAAAATCCATTGTTCAGTTGCTGTCATTTGAGTGCATGTATCTGGATGGCATTCACTCTGTTAAAAAGATACATTTCTTAATATGTAAGGTAATAATGAAAACCCTTATAATTTAGGTTGGAATTTTCCATGCAAAATGGTGGCAGAAAACACATTTTAGATTAGACTTTTGGTAAAACACATTAAGTTTCCAAATATCAGAAGTTTGCACTATAGCTTTAACTAAAAGAAAATATTACCTGAAGTTTAACAGCAAGTCCATTTAGTTCAAGACAGAATTGCCTGAAAATACATAAATGAAAAAGTGTTATCTCAGGCTATTTTTAGAATATTAACTATAAAAGAAAAATCACACCACCACCATCCTTCCTTCCTCATTAACATTATGAACACGAGCTGTATGAATCCAGCATACTTCTTGCAAAGACCTATATATCAAAATGCAAAACCAAAAACTAGCAATTCTAATAATATGCATTATCAGAATTTAGTAAGTTGATTACTCTTATATACTGGAACTGTACAATTTTCCTGGGAGTAATTTGAAATATTCCCCAAGAAGCTTAGGAATATAATTTTTTAAAATAAGCCATTCTCCCAAGAATCTAATTAATGAAATAATCAGAACTCCATGCAGACATATATAATGATCACAAAACTAGATATACATACAAGAAAATTTTTGAAGCCTTCTAAATAATTAATAATTGTAGAGTAGTAAAATGTTGGTATGTACATTTTGTATGTAAAAATACAAACGATAGGGCCCTCCCTGGTGGCACAACAGGTTAGGACGCAACACTGCAAACTAGCCACAGCTGCCTCAGGGTGGGTTCAATCCCCCACCCCGGAGGTGATCCACATGGCATGGCAGACCTCTCCTGACCTGCCCACTGCTCCCCACAAGCAGTGTACTTCTGTCAGTGTGACTGTTCTGCTCCCCACTCTGTTTCTGGTGAATCTTCTCACCACCCCTGCCTCCATTATCTGGCCTGTATCCCAGTTATATATGCATAAGTAAATAAATCTTTTAAAAAATACAAAGTATATATGCCTATATTCACTGTAAGATTCTAGTTAAATAAAAAATTTTACATATTTATCTATATCCAAACAGTTCATAGAAAAAAGATTGGATATTTTATACATTTCCTAGGTATTGTTCTAATTAAAACATGCTCTTCATAAAAACTAAAAAACACCAAGTATAAAATGTATAAGACAAAAATCCTCCATAATTCCACCACCTCCTCCTAAAAGATAATTACTGTTTACATGAACTTTTGAGTATTTCTATGGGCATCTTAAAATATACTGGGATCGTATCATACACAATTTTCTTACTTGCTTTTGGACCTTAACAGCTACAGAATTTTTTTTTTAACTCAGTCCTCACCCTCTCCCTCCATACACACTACTTATTTTTGTGAAGAACTGGGGCGTAGGCTAGAGAAGTGAGGGGTAAGAGGATTCACCAGAGATAAAGTAGGAAGCAGAACAGGCAGATTCACTGAAATACACTGCTAAGGGAAGAGCAGGTGAGACAAGAGTGGTCTTCTGCACCAAATGTGGGTCAGCAACATGGCCAGTGATTGATCCCCATGCATAATCAGTGATAGCACCGAGAGACTTAACCCGTAGGCAAGGGAGGCACCCTCTTGAACATTTTTTTAAAAAAGATTTTATTTATTTATTCAGACAGAACTGGGGTATAGACCAGAGGTACAGGGGCAGTGAGAGGATTCACAGACACAGAGCAGGGAGAAGAATAGACTGACTGATGAAGTACACTGCTGAGGGGAACAGTGGGTGGGTCAGGAGAGGTCTGCCACACCATGTGGTCACCTCCGGGGCAGGCAGGGATCGAATTCATGTGGAAGTGGCTTTAGCTTCTTAGTGCTATTCTTTAACCCACTGCACTACCAGGGAGGGCCCCTCTTGAACACTTTTTGCATGATATACTTCTCTTCTAAAATTGCCAGGCTACGAATAATAAAGCCCGAAACATAGTAATATTTAATGAATGCTATTTTGAGAAAAAAAATGGAGGAAATTATATGAAATGGATATCACATTTAGACAGACCTGTTTTTGATCTGCAAAAGCAATTAATTCCCTATGTCACAAAGATACTTATTCTATAGCTGTCAAAATAATAAATGTTGTTGCTAAAATCTTACCAAATCAGAGAATCACTACTATGCTTCCCCACTGAACAAATGAAAACACTTTGGCTCCCTAAAAATACAAAGGTAAAACTTATATAAGATAAACAAGAGCCAATGGAGAGGGGGAGTACAAACCTTTACACATTTGTAACAATATAAGCAGGGGAAAAACTATATTAAAGTTCATTATGACAAAAGAAAGCAACAGAAACTGGTCAAATTTTCAGATGTCTGTATTTCCTTTCCAGATGACTGATAAATAATAATGTTGTTTATTTAGGTTTCAAAACTAACACTATTTCTAAATCACACACCCCTCTATGGCTCCATATCACACTGCACGTTGGCTCCATATCACACTGCATGTTGTGTGTTTCTTAGCTGTTTCCCAGTAAGTGATGATAAGCAAGTTTTCCACCTAATCCAACTCATTCTTGACCAACAGCAAAATTAAGCCAAGTTGGGAGTATTCTGGGTACAATCTACAATAAATAGTTTCAATGTTAACAGCTTTAAGTTAATTCAGTATAGGACTAACACCATAAGTATACAGCTAAAGAGGTTAGCCAGAGCTGAAACCCAGTTTATACTAAACCATGTATCATGATTATGGGTTGCATTCACGAGAAGGAGAGGCATCTTTTCCCAATCACAAACATTCAGATGGGCTACTAGATTTGACTTAAATCATGACCCAAATTGTTTTAAAACCATGATATAATCAGGTGCATTAACCTATTTTAAAAAAAAAAA